CCCCCCCCCCAATTGATTTTCCTTGTTGCTAACTTCAAAACAATCACAGGTGAAACTTCCTAAAACTACTATATTCACCCTCAGATGAAAACTTTTGCAGGAGAAAATGTCCTGTTAAAGTGCATGGGTTTTCTTCTTCCCCAAAGCATGGATCAGTTGCAAATGAAGATCCAAGAGATTACTGCACAGCTTGGAAAGCATAGCTTTTAAACTGTATCTCTCTGCTTAGAGAGGCCAGGTTATCTTTTTATCTTTAGGTGGGCAAAATTTATACACACATTAAGTACATAAATGTCATTAGGTGAATTAGTGCAATGTTTGGTCATGAGATGAGAAGAAAGTGCAGCCTTCAGGTATTTTGGAGAACAGCATCTCTTTTAGATTAAGCTGATCCTTTGTAAATAATCAACGTATTGTCTGTGTTTAAAAGGAGGTGGGAGTTCAGAGGAGTTAGGTGATTATATTCAGAATTACTTCACTCTCATGGGGTTTGAGTTCCCTTAAGGTAGCTGTTACATGAAGTTGATAATAACATGTATTGAGAAGTTTTATTTAAAAGTGTTTAGAGAGATTTTTCTGAACTGATGCTTAAACTGTGTCATTTATGCCTCATCCTCACATCTTGGCTTTTAACCTCCCAGTGAATGTTTGAGCAATCAATTTCATTTTGTTTCTTGTGTGTTGGTTTTCTCATGTGTTTCTTCAACCCTTTGCTATTTCTTAAGTATTCTTCTTTATTTTAACATGTTCTTCCACTTTCATTTCCTAACTTCACATACTGCCAAATTGTTACCTCCCCTACTGTAATAATCTCCATCTTCTCCAGTATATTTCTTTTAACTGTCCTACGGGCAGATAGTTAAAGAAAGGAGACATAATGAACGATGTGGATTTTACGTGCATACTCCTGTACCTCTGTGTACATGACGTTGAGCTTTGGCATAGGCTGCCATCTTTTTGGTAGCCCATAGTCCTGTCATCATGGTTATGATCATTGTTACGATCAGAAAGGTACCTGGCTGGCAGCACTTAGGATCTGGGTTGCTTTAAACTCGCTTAGATCCTAAAGGAGGATTACAAGAACCATGACAACCCCCCACCCATGCCCCCCAGTCCAAAAAAATGTTCAGGTTTCATCTGGGGATCTGACTGTATTACAGGTCTAATAGTGTTTTAAAAAAAAAAATGCATTTGAAATGCTAAGCAATGGAGGCATCCTCCAAAGTGTGTGTCGGTGGGATCCCTGCTGCATACACATGTGTCTCTTGTGTGATGAAATGGGAGTATATTTTGTACAGCCATCTCTGGAGCTCTGCATTTGCCCTGTGTTGTGTACAGCTCCCATAAGAGGGCATGAAGAGTGACCTAGCTGTGTTCTGTGCTCAGTTTCTATCCTCGGTATCAACAAAACTATTTTTTATCCCTTACGGTATTCTGCTTGATGCCCTCTCAAACTTCAAAATTTGAAGGTTTTTTTTGCCCATATGTGGACATTTTTTGTTTTGAAGACTTTCATCTCTTACTACCCCTTTGAACTGGGTGTTTCTTTAAAAGGAAGAAGGAAACTTTCTTGGATAAGATGCTTTGTGTTAACTGCTTGCCTTTCTAGTAGGCTCAACTTCCAAAGTTCAGATGCTGACTAGTTTGTAATAGGCTTTGCCCAGCACCACTGGTGGCTGCTCCGGGTGTGGTGACTCCATCTTGGGTGTACATACCGTGTCTAACCTTTCTTCTCAAAGGCTCAAGTGCAGATAATGTTGGGTTTTTTTTTTTTTTGTTGTGTGGTGGTTTGGGTTTGGTTTTGTTTTTTTTTTTTTTGAGTCCCGGCTGCCAGCTCAACCTGTGCCATATCCCTTCTGACCCAGAGAAAGTGTCAGCAATGTGATCAGAGCTGTAAAAACTGCCAGACTTTTCCCTAGCAGAGGCTAGAGTCGAGAAGTCTCTGGTACTCAGAGAAAAGGAAGCGCTGAGTGCACGTGCAACCCCAGCAGACCTGCCTCTGTCCCTGGTGTATGAGTCTCATGGACAAAGCTCAATGCAGCACGTGCAAGGCTTCAGTTATGTGCAACAGTCGTACAAGTAGGAGCTTAAAAGTTTGCGTGTCTGAAAGGGTCAAGTAAGTTCCATATGGTTCCAAAGGCTGCATTCATAACACACCTACTAAGGAAAGATAAGTTTGTACCAGTCCTGAAACTGGTGTGGGTATTTGAACCCTACGAAGAGTACAGGTTATAATCAGAACAGAAGACCTAGATGTGTTTTGTCTACTGAAATGACTCCCAATCATTGTGTTTTAGACAGTTCTGAGGCATGATTGTTCTCATTTTCCTTTCTGAACTGCATTTTCACTTGCATTGTGTAGAGGAGCATCATTTTGCCTGCAGAGAGCAGCTACGCCATTTTCCACGGTCTGTGAGAGGAAAACTGGCTGACTGGCCTTTTGATTTTTTTTGAGTTCCACCTGATTTCAAGAACAAATGCTAAGTTGGACAGCAGTATCGCAATCTCTGCTTGATACAAGTGATCTTCATTGTAATATGCAGCAGTGCTTTCAGTTGCCTGTGGTGGCCTTGTTGCGCTCCTGCAACTGAAGGAAGATTGCTTGCTTAGGTTGCACTAGCTGAGGGTCTTTGAAATGTCCTTGTGATCCCCATTGCCCCTAGCACCCATGTTGTTGTTGAGGCATCTTGACATGTGTTTTGAGTTCAGAGTTTATTGGATGAAGGTCATAGCCATCTACTCTCTTGTGTGTGTGTGGTGGGGGAGTATAAAGCTGCTTGTGTGGCTGGAGCTGTTAATACTACACTATTAAAAAATAATAGTGTATTGTATCACTTGGTTGAATGTCTCCATTGAGAGTCACGCAGACTAAAACATACTGATGGACCACAGTTACCATAGGGTAAGTAATTGTTTTTTAGTAAAATAACTGATATTTTAATGAGCAACATTATACATCTGCAACAAAACAGCTTTTCTGTGCGTAACCTCTAGCTATAGTTTTAAATCATAAAGATGATGGGTATACATGATTTTCCTGTATGTTGATCTGTATGTTCCAAGGTGTGACAGATGTTGGGAGTGCCTCAGAGACTTGTCTTGAACTCTTGTCTATTTTTCCTTTTTAGATGTGCTGAAAGACATTATGACACCGCCAAATTTAACTGCAGAGGTACGTTTTCACTGTCTAGCATGTGTTCTTCTCTTTAAACTTCAGTGTTTCTGGATGAAGGTATAAAGGAGGAGCTGATGAATAGTAATGCAGGAGACTTGGTCACAAGGGATGATGTCAGATTGCTTTGAGTCATTGGAGAAACTTGCTATATTGATGCTTTCAAAAAAGTATGTTCCTGACAATTAACTAGATCAAGATCTAATAAGGCAATCGGAAGTCTACTGTTGCAAAAATTTTTGCAGAATGGGTTATTCAGAAGTTTCTGTTCAATTCAGTATGCAAACTTATTCTAAAATTTAGATGTGAAGCTTGGAGAAGTCTGGTTTTTATGCAGAAGCATCACTGAGAATAAAAATAGAAAACACTTAAGCCACTGTCACTGTTCATATAAAACAACTTCTTGAACATCTGGAACAAACCTTCAGTTGCTTTTAAAAAAAAAAAAAAAATCCAATGTGATGCCTCTCTGAGATGAGTTGGTTCTTAGACACTTTGCAGAGTTACCGGAAGCAGTGGGGAAACTTTTAGGGGCTCCTTTTGGTCAGACCCTTGGTGAGTGGAAGCTGATGTACCTGTTTTGTCAGTATTAACTCCCCAGGTAATAAATAAATAAGTACAGATTTACCTTTATTCTTTGTGCAGAGGAACATCTCTGTGCACAGTAGTAGAGCTTATAGTTCCTCTTCATGCAATGCTTCAGAATGGCTGGGTAGAGAAGGAGCACTTGTGTGTATGTAATTGTAGGAGATCCATAGGTTTTAGTTTTTGGTCTTACTGGCTAATAGTACATCATAGCAAGGGCTCAACTTCTTTTTTATTATTATTTTAAACCATCCCTCTAGTTGTAAAGAGTGTTTAGATCATGACCAAAATGTAATTGGCTGCTTTAATGCCTGAATAGAGAAGTACTGAAATTTTAGTTTTGAAGTCATCTTCACTTCTGATTTGCTCTTACAATGTTGAATGACAGTGTCCTGAAACCTCACTCAATAGATACAAGCCAGAAAAAAAAGTATTTTAAGATCTGCTTAAGCAATACTTTGCATAAGAGGAGAAAAGGTGTAAATGAAAAGGACATGCTTCTAGTATGTCCAGAACATACGCTTGCTTTAATTTATGCTATGGGGGTGCTCAGATCCCTTCACTGTCAGTCCCAGCCCAAAATGTTGTTTGTGACGGCACCTTTCACAGCTCCTCAGTGTAAGACAAAACTGTTGCAAGGAGCTCGTGTTGCCATTTTTTTCCCTTTTCATCCCCAAGTTAGTTACCTTAGATAACCAAATGGGTGATTCCAGACTTCCCTTAGCAGAGGAACAGCAGTTCTACTTCAGAATCTTCTGAAGTGAATTAATTTCAAAGGGAACTTCTTATTTGTACACTTAGCATGAAACACCATAGTAGTTCAGTATTCAACTTGGATGCTCTTGCATCCAATTCAAACCCAAACGTTGAAAGCTCTTCATCTTCTTTGGACACTAGCTTTCTATCTAGGTTGTTTGCAGTTTCTGAAGTACTTCGATGCTGGAAATTGCATTCTGCTTTGCCACAGGCTTTCCTTTTTTTTTTTTTTCCCCTCTTTATGTGCTATGGGATTTTTCTTGCAACGTCTAGGAGCTTGGAGAGACTAATCAAACCCATTCTCCATGCTGTATTAGGAACCAAAATCTGTGGAGGACCTGCACCCTCTAAGCTCAAGATTGTGCAGCTTAATGTTTCCTAAGGTTGCTTTCTGACTCTTAATCCCTCTGCACCATCACAGGGCACCCATTTCATCTGTTCCTCATTCCATCTTTGAAGAAAATACCGCAAGGTTTGCCTTTGATCCCAAATCTTGGAGAGCATCTTCAGCATGCTGTTACTACTTGGTATTTTTCAGGCTGTTCTTTCAGGACTACTTTGTCCCCTTTTCATGGGAACCTTATTGGATGTGGTTAAGATAGACTCAAAGTTGTACGGACAAATTCGCAGTGTCTTCTAACAGCTTCTTCTCTTAGGGGTTTCTAAATAAATTCCTCCTTTCATTTACATCTGCTGCAAAAAGTGGCATCTCTGTAAGTTCGCATAAAGCAATCATTTGGGGAGTCTTTGGATCTTCCGTGTGGAAGAATTTTAGTGTTATGTTCATGTTCGTTAACCTTTGCTGCTTCTTTAGCAAAGATTATTCACTTTATCGGGCTTCCATGTTTGGTCTTCTGGGAGATTAAGTGGGTGGTCTGTACTGTGAGTGAATAAACTGTCCTTGCAGATCCTCTGAAAGGCTTCAGACTTATGCTGCAGTAATTTAGCAGTTCCATAACTTCATCCCTCACTTCTGCTCTTTAAGTCCCTGGGGATTCATCAAAAGGAGCCTTGCGTGTGTGACAAGAGAGTAGCACTTATGAAACGAATACAAACACTTGCTAAAAAATGAAATGTATTCATTTTCGAACTGGAAAAGGAAATGGTGTTTCTAGCTGAGAATTTTTAAATGAACCAGACTCGTATTTGTGAGATCCCAAGTCTGTCGATTGAGAATTAGGGTGTACTTTATGAAGTGCTGTTCTCCTGGTGAAACTAGTACAGCCCTATGTAATTCTGCCAGTCAGCATGGCACTGTCTGTCATCTTATCTGAGGTGTTAGAGGTTTGGGTTTGGGTGCTTGTCTCTGCTTATTGCTTATTTTTTGCTCTCTTGAGTTTTCTTTCATTTCCTGCGTGCTCACTTGAAATTCTTTCCGTCTCTAGATGGAAAAAAGTGTTTATGTGCATGTAAGAAAAAGGACAACTTCGTTCAGTGGTTTGACTTTAAAACCCATAAGTATTGCAAGTGCCTTACACGAGATTTCTTTCTTGATTACCATTTTTTAATAGGGAAATTGCAGTTTTTTGTTTCAAAACCCCTTTGAGGAAATTCTGTGAGTTTGTTCCCAACGTAGACCTAACTGTGCTCAGAATTTTTCAGCAAAATTCCTATTGTCTGATCAGTGACTGAGGTCTGGCCCTGTTTTCTCTCAGCAGGTAGTCTAATTATTGCTAGAGTAATGGGTTTTCACAAGGTCACTCTTTGTGCCAATGCACTCTTAAATTCTAGAAATTTCATGATGTACGATACAGGGTCTGTGCCACTCCAGTAGTGGTGTGAAATAGTCTTTTCAAGTAGCAGGATGCTTGCTTATGTATTACTAGAGAAATGTCTGCAATGCATATATATGCAGTATGTTGCTGAATAATACTGGAAAAAAAAAACCTACAAACTACGTATCTACATGGAAGACAGGGCGCTTTATTTAGAAAGTTAATTTTTTGCATGCTTGTCACAAAGTTGACCTGTCTAGTTGAGCTTGGTGTAATTTCCTTTTGAGATTTTGATAAATGACTTCTTCTCATTGCAGTTGCACAGTACCCTTTTGAAGACCATAACCCACCACAGCTAGAGCTTATCAAACCTTTTTGTGAAGATCTTGACCAATGGCTGAGTGAAGATGACAATCATGTTGCAGCAATCCACTGTAAAGCTGGAAAGGGACGAACTGGTGTAATGATATGTGCATATTTGTTGCATCGAGGCAAGTTTTTAAAGGCTCAAGAAGCCCTAGATTTCTATGGGGAAGTAAGGACCAGAGACAAGAAGGTGAGCTATTTTCTGTTCTTCTGTTCTGCTATCTGTATCTTTATGCTTTTCCTACTTGAGGTCAATTTGAATAGTCAAGCCCCTTAAGAAATACTTTCTGTCAGTTGTGATATCTGGTTTGATTTAGCTTTAACATTATTGGATCAGTGCAGTTGTTCTAAATGAAAAAGCTTTCCTAAGCAGCAGTAGCAATTAGTCACAACACTAAAACAGTCTGGTTTTTCCATCTCCTGTTCAAGAAGATCTGGACAGTTTATTTTAAACAGCCTTTTAAATAGCATTCTGCTGTGTGTTGCATCAAATGGGTGGTTGACGAGTGAACTTTCTCGTTCAGCATTTTTGGACCAAATAAGAGGATTATTCTAGCTTGTTTTGCCTGAATGGATGAGCTGTTCAGCTCCTCAGGTTCTTTTAGTTTCTGTGGTGGTGTTTGGAGGTGCATAGTCGTGACTGTGTGTTACAGTTGAATATCCCTACTGGAAGGGTGTATCAGTCTGTTGTTGGGTGCCCCTTTCCAATAAAAGGGTAGTTAAGCCCAGACATTGGCGGCCTCAGAGCCTGCTTCATGAGGTGTTGCCATTTAGTTTCTTGTACTTCTCCTGAGGAGAAATGGGAGGATCTCATTTCAGAGAAGTGATGTTCATGGCTACAAGAGCTTTCTGTTAAGACCTTGTCAGTGGGAAAGACAGACTTAGCAGTAACTGTATGTTGGACATTTCTGGCATGGTTATGCCTCATTAATGGGAATTTAACGTCCTTATTTGAAATCTTCTCCAAGTATAATAAGGTGTGCCTTGCAAGGTCACTTCAGCAAGCTTCCCTGCTCATCTTCCATCATTTCCTTGTGTATGTTGGTAGAGCAGCCCAGGGGGTCATCCTGGCAGGCCAGTTTCCAGCCTACAGAAGTACAGAGCTCTCTGTGTTCCCTTAATATTTATGTAAAGTATTAATTTCACAGTGTGTAGACCTCTAATACGCAAAGCTTCATGTTTGAAGGCTCTTGAGAGCAGAAGTGTGACATAAGGAATTTTAGAATTTGGCTGTTAATTCACTGGAAGGAGCAAATAACTTCTTAGTTTGCTCTCTTTACAAGATGGAGCTGTTACTCCATGTACTGCTGAGAAGATAGCTGTGGTGTAATACTAGAGCAGAGACAGTGTCAAGGTTTCCCACCAAACCTTTGTGGCTTTTGGTAAGGATGCATGATAGTGAATAGGAATGAGCTGTGTGATGAATATACAGTGTAGGTTACTCCTGCTGATAAAGATTATCTACAGAGCTGGATAAAATACCATGAGAACTACAAAGCTTGACAAATACACGGTGAAGCGTGTTGTTCCTCAGTTTCCCTTTTGGGGGGAAAAAAAGGGGGGGGGGGAAGTATTTCTGTGCATTAGTGTGTTGGGGGTAAGGTCAGTTAAGTGTTCATCAGTACCCCAGTGGTACCTCTGGCATGTTTGAGGTAACAGGGAATTCAGTAAACAGAAATAGTGAGAGCCTTGTTTAGCTTCACTGTAAATATTGTCTGTAGCCATCAACTTTGTTTTGGTTTTGATGTCTTTGCTGGAAGAGTTTTTTTTTTCCGCAGCTCCACTTGAGTGTGGTTATCTTTATGTGGACAGTGGGCAGCATGTGAGTCACATAATCCTTTAAAGTAGTGTTTATAAACAGGTATTCCAGTGCAGGTAGGTTCTGGGAGCTCTTTCTTCCCTTGTGGCCCGTATTTCGGTGTTCTGTGTCAAGTGCTGCTCTCTGATTTGACACTTCACCACACCTTTATATAACTGACTTCCTGAACTCAAAGTAAATGAGGCATCAACAGTGCTGTTTGCCCCTAGGGACAAGAAAATGCATTTTTCTTTTTTTTTTTTTTTTTTGTTGCTGGACCAACATATGCATGCTGAAGGAAAACTGGCTTTAGGTACCAAATTTTCCTCATTTAAAGCAAGCACAAGGTTTACAGTTTGTATTTAGCTGCTCAGAATAGTGTAGCTAAAATCACTGTTGCTATTAATGTGCATGGCAGAGTGATTCTCGAGAGGGTTTAGTCCATGCCGGCAGGAAGTGTGAGTCTAATTGCAAGAGGAACTATGACTAATTGGTCAAGAGAACAACCTCTAGTACTTCTGTAGCAAGCTTTTCCCAGCTGCCTGTTGGGAGAAGAAGCTTCCCAGAGGCCTTTGCAATATCAAGTGAGAGTTGTTGTAGATGAGGCTGACAGTGCCTAGATAGTCTGTTAATGTACTGTTGTCCTGGGAAAGGTAGTGGGGAGTAGGACATTGCAGAACTGAGTCTAAAAGTCTGTCTCTGACCAAAAACTGGGGGGGGGGGTTGTTTTTTTTCCTATAAGCTGTCTCTTGAGTTCTGTAGCTCATCATAGTGGGAAGATCCTTTTTCAGAAGGGAATGATAAAGATTAGAAAGTATTGGCTAAATGGTTGTCTCTCTCAGTCACCAGCACTGTAGTAGAACAGGACTGATTTCTATTTTCTCTTTGAACCAAGGGAGGCAAACTGTTTTCTGAAATTGCATAAAGAACTGTAATTGTCCAGCCTGTTTTCAGAGCTGGGGGAGAAGTAAACCCCCCTAAAGGTCTTCTAAAAAAGCTGTTGCTTCATTGTTTGAAATGGTTAGCTTATCACCTGTTTTTTCCTTAAGATGGACACTGAAATACTACTGTGATGATGAAGACTGATGACTTACCTTCCTACAGCTGGAGAAGGTCTTTATTTATTCCCACTTCTGCCTTGAAGGTTTTATGGTGAGGATTAGTCTTGGAAGGAAGTGTAGTCTACTCAATAGATATGTATCAGCTGGGAACAGCTAGTCAAGTGCTTGAGCTGGAGATGATCCATTCGGGAGCATTGTTTGACCATCATACTGTTGCATTTTTAGGAACAGCTCCTAATAGTGGTGTAACGGAACAGGAAATGGAAACCAATTATTCTGTGTGAGGAAGTCTCAGAATGACTCTTTGAGCAGGGTAGATATCCAATGTCTGATGTGTCGGAGCTGATCAGTTGTGATGGCTCTTTGTTCAATGTACTCGGTGACAACCTCTGCTAAACCTGATGCCGTAAGCCTAGTCTGTGGCTGCAGCTTTAGCTTTGCTCTAATGGTAGGGCATGTTATTAAAATGAATGTAGGAATGTCACTTCCAAAAATGTTTTGTTCTTCATAATACTGCCTGCACTACGTTGAGAGGAGAACCTGAGGCAGCACCTGACAATTTTTGTGATGTCTACACAGCTCGGCAGTGCTCTGTGAAACTCTGGCATAGGGACTAGAGAAGCTTATCTAAAGTCCATTTAAAAAACTGATGATGGTGATAGATGGGAAATGTAAGCTTCTTGAGGAAGAAATACTTAAACTGCTTCCGTGTTCTTTATTCTTCTTCAGTAAAAGTAAGCGGGGATTGATTGTACCTCTCGGAATATTAGCTTGTTATGAAAGTGTTCTGCTTTGAAATCAGACCTTTGGAAAACGGAGAACTTTCTGTTCCACTTCATTGTGGCTGGTTCTTAGGATCTCAGGGTAAAGGCTGTGTCTCCAGGGGGTAAAAATCTCTGGCTGGAGGGATAAAACTGCCCTCTTGGCTGAGAACTGATTTTGCTTTGAGATCAACTATCACTTTATATAGCTGTGTTCCCTTTGTTCTGGTCCCAGCCCTGGTTGTCCTGATAAGGTGTGCTGGGGTTTCTCTGTGGGGCAGGCACATCCTTTACGGCATGGAGAAGCTATGAGCAGAGAAGGATGCGTTTTCCTTACCTACATGGCTTGCTTCTGGTTGGCAGCATTGGCAAATTACTGATGGCTTGTTCTGAGGCTGGGATTTTCTCAGTTGTGAAGCTCAGATCCCAGGAAAGCAAACTTTAAAGCTCCACTTTGGAGTGGGTCTGATAACTACTGAGATGACATCTGAACCAAAACCGTTGTCTCTGTAGAAGGCTGCTTAAGAACGTCATTGTACAAGTGCTGTGGGATAAAGTCTTGTGTAATTTAGAAGCAGCTGAAGTGGTAACGAGCTATAATTACCAACTTTTTTTTTTTAAATAAAGGCAGGAAGTGATAGATGCTTACTAAATTAAAAGTACTCTGGCCATTCTTAGCTTATGGCTGTTGCAAGGTGAAGCAGGTATTAGCACTAACAGTTTGTAGAAAAACTGTGTTCTAGGTTTTGTGACCAAAATGCTCATAGACTTGTATATGAAAAGCTTTGGTTATCTCCAGTTTATTGCAATTTCACATTTAGTTTTAATATGAAATTTTACTTACTGATGCTGTTGCAAATATATAGTATGGGTTGTTATAAACCATGTAATGCATTTTCTAGGGAATTAAATTCTTTCTCACCTTTTTCTCTTTTGCTTGAAAATATTAGCTGTAAGAGCTTTAAAACTATTCCCTTACTTGAAGTTTGATTTAAAATCAGTAATTAAAATGTTCTTTGGTTATATGTTCTCAAAGCAAGCGTTGACTTCAGAGTGGTAATTAAACTGAGAAGTCCTTCATTTAACAGTTTGGGCTCTTGAGCCTATATTAATGAAACTTTCTGGTTTTGATTTTTGTGAAAACATTTCAGAAGGGCATTTTGTAACAGAAGATATTGTGAGTCTTGAGTACAGTGATATTAGCAAGCAAAATTAGAATCTTTTGACTTAAACTGCTGTTGAAATGTAATTTCTGTATTGGTGCTTAAAAATTCATACATTCAAGGCACCTCCTGCTTGACGTCTGACACTCCTCACACCAAAAATAAGCAGCAGCATGAAACCATCTTTTACATGGCCCTCAGGGTCTCCGAGGTGGTTGTTTTTAAGATATGCAAGAGTCTGCATTCTTTGCCCCATTGCTTGAGGTGGATGTTTGGTGATACGTACTAAAGTAACTGGAAAACCAGTGTCCTACTTGTTGCGTGCTGGGGACTGGTTGGTAATTAATTGCCTGGTGTTAGATAATGAGTGCAAACAGCTTCCTCTTAAACACTCTGCAGGATGAGTACAAGAGGTGTGGACACATGTCTGAGGAAAAGGGGAACGCATACAGAAGCTGTCTTTGGGGGTGGTTTGGAGGTCTATTGTATCTTTGCTAGTCCTTAAGGTGCCCAGGGTGGTCCGCAGTGAAGAAATTGCTGAGGGTTGTCACAAGTTACTGTACCAAAAACCTGTGTGGCTGGGTTTCTGTGCAGTGTAGAATGCAGTGCAGAACTTCCCTGTTTTCTAGGTACAGCCAGCTTAGATGCTTTACTCTGTGTGCTGGTCTCCAGTGTAGCTGCTGCGGAGTATACTCGGCATAAATCACGATGGTTTATTCCAGGTGCTTTAGCTACCTTTTCATTTGTGGTTTATTTGCCTTTAGTTATATTCTGAGGTAACGGGCAGGAGCTCTGTCAGTGATGCTAATAAATGGTCGTGATGTTTTTTGACGTTTGTTTTCCCCCTGTTTAGGGAGTGACAATTCCCAGTCAGAGACGCTACGTGTACTATTATAGCTACCTGTTAAAGAATCACTTGGATTACAGACCAGTGGCACTGCTCTTTCACAAGATGATGTTTGAAACAATTCCCATGTTCAGCGGCGGAACTTGCAGTAAGTACCCAGCACCCCATTAACCTCCATTAGCTCTCGTAAGGAAACGCATTGGCCTTTGAACTTGGTTTGGTTATGTGACGGTTACCATTCTGGAACGTGTCACGAAGAGCTGCACACCTTGATGGAGGAGATCATACCTAAACACTTCACATTCCAAAATGCGCTGGGTTAGTGTGGTCTATCTGCTAGCATCCTCCCAGGTGTAGTAAGTTGAGGTCTGTGAAGGACTTGCGTGGTTGTTTCATTACAATTTTAAATTGGGAAGGATTTGATGGTTTGAAGGTAAATGATGCCATATATATATTTGGATATTTGCTCCTTACTTTTTTATAAAAAGCCTTTTTTTTTTTAATGTAGCAACTCTTGGGAAACATGAATTGCTGAAAAACATTTGCTTAATGGTGTGTTGGCTTCAAATGCACCAATGTCATTCTTCCCATGACGTTTAAAAAAAAAATCGGTTCAACTGGGTAAATATCTAATTAACTCTATAAGACTCCGTATAAAGAAAAGGTTATTCCAGAGTATTAATACACCTGTAAACGATTAATCTGGTTTGCTGATACACAGTGTGTTAGTAAGGAACAGCAGATTCCTTGGAACTTTGAAGTATAAATATGAATTGACTTCTGTCCTTCTGTGGGCTGCGTTACAGGGCAGTAACTGCCTAGTGTTGCGTGTTAATTTTTTGTTAGTGGAAAAAGTCTTTGTAATGGTTTTGCTATGGGGATTACTGCAATGTGTAATTAATTCCAGTGCCTCCTGTGGCTTTGATTATAATTGCACTGTTAATATTGTTGTAAGACAGTACCTGAACATGTTACACACATAAGAAACAATCGAGCAACTTGTCGGGCTGGCTGTATTTACAGGAGGAGGAGGAAGGGAGGAGCCTCTGCCAAAAAACCTCTGCCTCCAGGGTAGAGGTGTGGAGGTTACAGATTTCTGCAATTACCACTTATTTAATGTTTTGGATAAACTGTGCTATACTTGCGAAATCGAGCTACAAGTATGAATTGCTCGCGTGAGTGTTAACTTGTTTGTCCCTACCAGGCTGTTAGCATGCTGTTTTCACAGTAGGATGTCGGGATAAACAAAAGATTTGCTAAGCATCTGAGAAAGATAGAGTAACTATCAACTTCAGCATCTTTGTGTATTGCAATATTTTACGTTTCTGTGGAGTTTTCAGTGATTTTTCAGAATGTGAAACCAATGGTCTGTGTTACTTTAGTCATGTTATCTATTGCGGTGGTAGTAATTCTACCAACACATGATAACTTCAAATCTGACTTCCTTGTTATCTTCCTTCTGTTTTAAAGTCACTGACGGAGCAGAGTCGTGCCTCTCAGGCAAAATGACGGGATGACAGGGTTTCACGGCTCTGAGGATTTGGGGGAGATAAGTAGCAGTTTTATAGCTAGGCCGTTCAGCAAGATAGCCTGGGTATGCTCGGGAGGGACTTCCACAGCTCTGCAGGGGTGGTTTCAGGGTGGCTACATGCTCGACGGCAGGGTATGGTTCGGTGTGTATTGTCCAGAGAGCAGTCTGCAGCTGATACTAACAGAAAAGTTAGGAGCAAATGCAGAAAGATTTCTTCGAATAAGTTTCATTTAATATTTCTTGCTTTCATGCTGGTGTCTGGCAGTTTCCAAAGAAAATCTGCTTAGGCTGCACCAAAAGACCCTCATCATTTCAGCTGTTATCCCTGCAGATTTAATTTAGGAAGTTATGCCATGGCAGGCACTTTTTTTGGTGATGGTGATTTACAGGACAGACTTAACTGTCTGTGTCTGTATAGTCTGTTGGTGCTGGCTGGCTTGTATATTAATGTTAAATTTCCTTGTTTTTGTTTGTGTAACAGTTCTGTTTGTGTAAGAGTACAAATCAGTTTGTGCTGACATGACCACCCCCTCTGCAATTTGAAGAAGAGATCAGAGAGAATAAAACCCCTCAGTTAGGTCCATATAATATAGAGATTAGAGGCAATATGCAAGGAAAAGTCAGGAAGTTATTGCTTCATATAGTTATTTCTTATGATATTAAAAAGAAACAGCAACTTTCCAGGAACCCTATGGTTGCCTGAGAGTATGGCTACAAAGGACAGAAATATGTTAGGTTGTTTCCAGTAACTTCTAGCAAAGTTTGATGCCCTGCAGTGCTTAACTCTTAATAGGTGCTTATTTAACTTTGAAAATACTATAGCTCAGGATTGTGATTCTGATACTAATATTGTGCTTTTTTGACACTTTAAAGCATTTCTTACAAAGAGACACTCTGTTTTGCCATGCAGATCCTCAGTTTGTGGTGTACCAGCTAAAGGTAAAGATATTCACCTCCCCTTCAGGACCCTCAAGACGTGAAGACAAGTATATGTACTTTGAATTCCCTCAACCTTTGCCAGTATGCGGTGATATCAAAGTGGAATTTTTCCACAAACAGAACAAGATGTTGAAAAAGGTTGGTTTTCTCGCTTTTCTGGAAAATGTTGTTGAGCCAATCCTGATGCAGGGCTGGGATGTTGGTTATTCTTCAGTGATGTGTAATCACAGTATTTAATTCTTTGATGTCTAGTTTTCCCAAGGAGAGAGTCTACCACAAAACGAAAGCTGGATATTTTGAGAGTTGGTAAGATTAAGTACAAAGGTTGGATAAAAATTATACTGGATATGTATTGCAGTCATTTGGGTAGTAGTGAGTAATCTAATTGAGGAAGAAACATTCTCATTCTAAAAATAGACTTGCATACTGAGCAAGTTAACTCCAGCTGTTTTCTTCACTAAATTTTCCTAAGGTCTGAGCAGGCACAGGCACAGAAGATCCTGTCTGTGTGCTGTTGGCTGATTTCTGTCAAATTTGGTTGAATTTCTGAGATAATTGAGTTCCTACGCACTTTGTAAAAAGTACCTCTGCAATCTAGTCAGCCATCTCTTGGTTCCCAGCTGCAGTGCCTTGACATTAAATGTTTAGAGAATTCACTCAGAACTGAGAATTTTATCAGTGTTTCAGTTGTGGAAAAAATTAATCTAGAACTTATTTTGACACCAAAGTCAGTGAGTTCTTAAAGATGAATGCCTTGTCACTGAGTTTCATTAATTCTGGTGCATTAATTCTAGCTTGCATCTACCAAAGTGAAAGGTGAGGATGAGATCATGTTGATTAAAGGCTACCTTTGTATTTACTACTTAAAATTCTTTACGAATAGTTGTTCACTATTTAATGGATGTTATAAAATTTAAGAGCATTCATTGAGTGAATTCTGTGTACAAGCAAAGCATGAAAATAAGAAAATACTGCAGTGGATAACATAAGTGATAACAGTCTCTTATAACTGTGCATGCAGGTTGTACCTACTAGATACTTGTGTAAATACACATGCACACTATTTTGTGGGTTTGTTCAGTTACAAGGCTTCGTTAACTAGTTCAATGGTGTAATTTCATTAGCTGGAAATGTCATGTTCTGTTGTTTGCTATGTGCTGATGTCTGCATAAGTTTATAAACAGTTTCTTAAAGGGAATATTTTCTTCTTGTGCCTGTTTAATGAGATGTTTTAGTTGGTCAATGTGGCTATATGCAGTACAGAGAACTGTAAAACAAAGCATTTTAAAAGTAGAAATTCCACTTTAAGTCAACATTAAAATTATTGACATTTAAAACTGCAATGCACAGGAGCCAGTTTTGAGAACGGACTTGTAAAGGAGCGCCCAGATAAGTACTGTGGGCCAGACATGAGGCATGCAGGGAGGAGATGAAACAAAACCCAAACATCTGAGACAAGGTCCTGTTTGATCCGGTCTCTGTCCTACCTTAACTGTGAATTTGTCATTTCTTTACCATCTTCCGTAACACGTGAATTGCAAATGGACTTTGTAGGAAGCATTGTGCTGCCCTGCCTCTCCCTGAGTAAGCCCCTGAAATATCAGTGCATGGCTCAGGTGCTGGATCTTGGCTCTGTAGCACCAGGAATGAACTCCTGTATTTGTTTATAAGAGAGCACTGAGATCCAGTGACAGCATAAACTAGTGCTCCTCGCTATCACATACAGTTTCTGTAGTATAAATTCAGTCTTCAAGAGTGTGTAAAATTGTCTGTAAAAATGCAGTGTGTTACTATATTGTAGTTTCGTTTCGGAGTGTCATATCAGCCATGGTTTCATTTCTTAAGAATCTCTTTGTAGTTTCTGAGTAGCTGGTTGGTTTTTTTTTTCTTTTTGTCTATTCTTATCGAGTACCCTAACTATTCAGGTTCTGTGCATTACAGATAGTGCAGAGATGCTCCTTTTCTCAGTGTTTTTGGACTGCTTGGGCCAAGAAATGCTGAGATGGTGAAAGCTGCTCTTTCCACATCTGCAAGCTTTTCTGAGAGAGAGAAACTGTCCCTTCACCAGGCGGAAGTCTTTTGTAAAGAAACCACCTTGATAATCTGGCTCGAAGATCTGTTGAATCTAGTGTCTAATTGCCCTCAAACTTGTGTAAGAATGGAGGGCAAAAGAAAGTAGGTATATGGTGTTACACAGTTCTGTTAGCTCTACTGTAAATGCAGACACGAATTGAGGGCATCTGGGACTGGGTCCATGGATCTTCTTGGATGTAAGGATGTTAGTTTTATGAAACCACTGCTGAGGTCTTCATATTGAGAATTAGTGAAATATTTCATCTCTGACATGTGCTGTGGCACTAGAGGAGATCCTTCCACACAGTCCTTTTGGCAACTTACTATGTAAAGTGACTAAGATGGGAGTAGGGAAAAGGTGAATATTTGTGGCAGAAAACTTACATTGGCACAAAGTTGAACACATTTCTCTGTACAGGTGTTTCATGTGTGTGCCTATTCCTTTTCTAGATAAACTGACTCTACACAGTGTTTACTCAAAACCCCAAAAGAGAGGGCCTGCCACTGTGGAGACCTGTTGCATTTTGGAGAGGATCACTTCTATGCAGTGATCACCTAATTAATGAGGAACAGCATCATTAGGAGTAACAGGATCTTATCTTTCAGAGATTCTGGTTTATTCACGTGTGTTTATGAAAGCTGGAATTACAGGTCTGTTGCCCGTCACTGGTTCTTGCTCTTCCAAGGTTTTCTGTTAGCAGGTTTATAGGTAGCTGCTAAACAAGTTTTCTTGCACACACTTAAAGGCATCACATATCTACCAGCCTGCATTTTAACTTTGCATAAGAAACCTAGTCAGAAAACTAACAACATTAATTAAAAGTTTAATTCTCGATCCATTCTGGGTCTCAGACTGGAAAGTGGCTATGTCTTGTCTCTGGAGATAAAGGAAACTTTTGTGTCCTCCTGCTGGGTCTGGTTTGGTGTTTGATACCAAAGATCTCAGCTGAAGTGCTTTGGATTTGCTCACCTGTACTTGCTTTCAAATTTCTTAACCCTCTGAAGAACCCTCTGCATTATCTGCAGAGCTGTCTGGTATGGAGGGTCCTCCTCAACTTAGATCAAGCTCTCTTTGGATAAAATTATTGTGCATGAAACAAAACAAACTTGAATGACCAAGTGACTTTCAGCACGTAGTGTTGCAGTGTCAATATGAAATTTAAAGCAGTCAAGTGTCCTGTTTTTTTTTTAATGGTAAAACTTAATTTAAGCAAATTCAGTGGCTAGTGAGAGCTGACCTCAGCCAGGGGATTATTGGCACTGGTGAGATGATGTTGGTAAGAGGGGGTGACTGCTTTGAAAAAGTTACCCTGTTACAGCTCTTCCATAATCTGTGCCACCTGGCATCAGTAAGTCCACAACTTTTGGTCTTTTCTTGTCTAATAAAGTTGTTTATTCTTGGACCGTTTCTTCAGTATGATGTAGCTACTTCCTTTCAAGAATGAAATGCATGCTCATATGAGAACAAAATGGCTTGAGGCTTGAGTCACGAATTTCTGATGCGTAGAAGTTAGTAATTTCAGTAGGTTTTTTGAGCATAGGTTTTTGTTTCTCGACTTGTAGCTTGGCTATTCTTCCATCTCAGACTGCTGCTGTAGGCTCTCTAGGTTTGCTTCCATGTATCTGTGAAACCTTTTTCTTCCAGTTATTGATGTTGACATGATGAAGTATTTCAGAGTATCCTTATATCACTTGGTTCAGTGAGAGTCTTGTTTAAAAATAATACAGAAGATCTCAGAATCTTCCTGCCTGCAGAGCCTGGGGGTAAAGGAGACCTTTTCCAGGAGTCCTCCCCCTATAGATGAGAGGGAACTGTTGGTGTGGGTTTTTTTGTAAGAGGCACTGCTGTATTATACCCAGGCTCTAGTGTAGGCAGGGCTGACAGCATTGTTTGAGCTGTTGGGTATGCCATTTCATCTCCTGGGTCTGTATAGATGAGAAGATCTGCTACACAGTTCAAGAGGACTTTGGGCAATTGCTGTTTAGCAGACACTGAAGAATGAACTCTGAAAATGTCAGAAGACTTTAAATGTTGGTCTGAAAATGGTACAAGAAGTTCCACCAGCCATGACTACAGGAAGGCTGTGAGGCCAGCATGGAGCAGGTTGAAACATGATCTCCAATCTTCTGATTGCTGGATAGCATCTCCAAAACCCTTAGCTGGTGCTGCAAAGTGATTATAAGTGCCTCTGCAAAATTAAACTCTCAGGAGGGTACAGTAGCTCCTAGCTGATGGTTTAAATGATCTCGGATTTGGATCTCAGTCTGCAGTTAGAGGCAGATACCGGCTCTAGAGTGAGGTATATTTTTCTGTCAGTCTGAGAACTGAAAAACTGCACAAGGTAGGGATAAGTATTGTATGTCAAAATGGTGTGATTAAATCAGCTTCTGACTCAAGTGTCTGATACTGCACTGTAGATTTTGTGATACAGATTTGGCTATGGGAAGAAGTACATCTATGTGTTGTGTTTTTGTTGTTTTTTTTTTTTTTTTTTTAAGGCAGATGCCTGTGATGTAACTGGAAGTGAAGCAAAACACATTCAAAAAAGCCTCTAGCTAATACTTGTTTTCAGAAGCCTATTCATTAAATTGTGTTCCTGTGAGCACTTGATCTGGTATTCTGATTTGCTATATAAAGCCCAAATTCAGTTCATGCCTTGATTTTTAAAATTCCTATCTTTGGCCCATATTACATCAGCTTTCTTCGCTGTCTCCCATGAAATATTTTGTAGCTTGACGCTTCAACTGAAGCTGGCTGAATCCAAACTTTGAATAATGAGTTTTGTTTTTCAGTGAAAGCAGTGACACAGTTATCAACCTTAAGAGCTAATTCCAAAAAACATGACCAAGTCTTCCCTTAATTTGAGTGGCCGTGCCATCTTCCAGTACCCATTAACTTAGTTTATTAGGCTTATTAAATTAGTGTAGTGGGAAAGGAAGGGAAATAACTTGATGCTTTAAAAAGCTGGAGGGAGATAAAAGGATAAATGACCAGCTCAGCCAAGTTGTGTTGTTTAGTTTGAGTCCCTGAAGACCTCTGCAAATTTATCCCAAGGAAAACAGATTAAAAGATGTCTAGTGAGAAGTTTGTCATCTGTCTTGTCTTCTCCAGACTCTATCAGTAAAAACTGAGTCCCCGCAGTTGCTTGTTCAGGCAGGCCCTTAAGTGCCAAGTAAATCATTCCTGATTCTGTTCCACCTGATGAAGTTCAGGGTGAGGCATGATAAGACTCTGCCTTCTGCTTCTGCTGGCAGTTGGTTTACATCCAGTGGCCTTGTTTGCTTTGGCACTGCTTTCCTCCAAAGCTGCTTCAGCACTATTGGTGTAAGCCATTTTCCATTTGTCTGCTGTGGCATGTTCATCAGCTTTGTCCTCCCCTCTGCGGACCTCGCTGGAGGTATCATGGGTGGCACTGAGGACCAGTACCAAAATGCATTGGTGCTTCTGCATTGTGGTCCTGAAGGATGAAACATGGTAGTACCATCACCCCAGCTACAAGAGGTGGGATTTCCCTTAACTGTCATCATAGTGTGGAAATGCACTTTCTTCTCCGAATCCTTGCTGGAAGGATGGCCTCGTCACCAGTGGTGAGACTGCAGGTGGTATGTCCACCTGCTTACAGAGCTGTTGTGTGCTGGAAGAAACATCAGCTCGGGCTTGCCTTTTCCTGCTGTTTATTACAGATGGCACCTGGACTCCACATCCCTCCTGTTCTGTAGCTGGAAAGCTGATACCATTGGTTGTTTCTGTTTTGACCTGAACTGGTCTTTTGGTTTGAGCAGAAGTAGCCATCCCATTCCCTTGGAGGACTATGTATCTTTGAGGGACTCATCATCTGGGCATAGGAGAAGCCTGGACCAGGTTACCCTGAAGATGTCTTCATGGGGATTTTGCTTACTGCCACTTCCTTTATAAGACATCAGCAGGCAGGCTGATGAGTTGTTTGAGCATTACAGAAGAATAAACCCTTTTGCCCAGGATGTTCATCCTCTACTTCCAGATCCTGGGGCAGGCATTTTTAAGACTCTTTCTGAGGTAGTGTTAGTGAAGAAGAGGGTGCTAAGTGTATGCACAGTTTGGGCCTGGCAAGAACCTCCCGACTGCTGCCTTGTATGGATGGGCTCTGGCAAGGCTTCTTCATAGATGTGATGGTTTGAAGGGACTTGGTGGCAGTGGCAAACATATGTTAGTCTCTCAAGACAACTGTTAATTACAGCATGTTAATTTGGTAGATTAACTTGATTCCCAAAGGTACTGGAGAGGCAAGCGTTGAAGTGGATAACTTAACAACCGGAAGTGTTTCTGACTGAATTATTTAACTTTTGTCTTTGCCGCTGCACTTCCTTACAGGTTGGGGGTCTCTTAGGTCTCTTAGAAATGCACGCAAGCTGGAAGTGGTTTTGTATGCTTTACCTAAAATACTGAAAATGGGTCTACTGACCTTTGGTAGAGAAGGCAGGTAGAAGTTGTTTCATCAGACACTTCTGAATTCCCAGTATTTGTGTGCTCACATGTTTTTATTAATTTGTGAGGAAGAAGAATAGAAGTTAAACAGTAGTTCAGCTCTTCTCGTTGGCCCAGGAAAATGTGGTATTTTGCTGGTGCCAAATTACCTTCAGCAGGGAGGCACGCTCATATGATGCACACTGGAACCACTTCTGTTCCACCTCTGATTTGGCCCCTGCTTACCAGCAGAGGTGAATAGCTAGGAAGATGGGCCAGGACCTGGATTTTCCCATAAGAAATTGGAATTAGATCTCTCTGGTAAACCAAAATGTGTAAATTAGCTCAGAAGGAGTTGGTTTGTGTTCTGGTCCTGTATAATATCAAGGAATGTTAGATTCTGGTGTGTGCTAGCTTTTGTCACCCCTGCAGCTTTAGCAGAAATGCAGAAATACTGACTATTGTGGGAAGACTGGCCATTTGCATTTTGGATCTTTTGCCTGAAAACTCAAATAAGAATAAAATAGAAGGTTTCATTTGTAAAAAGGAAGTAAATGTAGCTCGGTTTCAGTTGAAGCGCTTAATGTACTTGTCAGGACCAACCTGCTAATGTTAGTTGATCTTGAAAACATCAACTCTTGACTGCCAAAAGTATGGCAAGTGATGGAGAACTAAAACAAGAGCATTCAGTGCATCCTACAGAGCTGTTTAGCCGAGAGCTTAAAGGTGAAGTTCCTGGGCATATCATCTTCAGAGATTGACTAGCCAAGAGCAAAACATTGCTGCTTGTTCAGTAGCACATACGGAGATAGACGCTGCTAGTCATAATGATAAGCATGTAAAACACTGGCTGATACCAGCTAGTTCTCCAGTGACTTTGTAAAATCACAGATACATTTATAGTTTGCCTCTTGTACAGGTATACGTCTTGCACTGTTATAGTGGATAATCTAACTTGTACCTTTCTGGCTGTTGATGGTCATCTGTCAAGTTCGGCTTAAGTTGAATATACTTAAACTCACAATGCCTCATCTTCTCATTAAAAACTTCCTGTTGAGTAGAATGACAGCAGACACTTTCAGAGTCAGACTTCCTCTTAGTACTGGTCAGCAAATATCTGACTGGTAGAAACCACCTCTGTAAAGCAGTAATTAATCCACTCCGATACGAGTCCTGCATTTGTAGGGTGGTTTTGCTCAATTAGCGCTATTTCTGTGTAAAAATAAAGTGTTCCGTTATGTGGGAAGCTATGGAGGAGGTTGTTCTTTGTTGATAAACACTACTCGCCTAAGTTGGTTCGCACAGGTTGTCTGTTGGGTTTGGCTACTGCTTGGTGAGATATGAGCAAAAAAAAAAAAATCTCTTTATGCCTTGTTTTATGCCAAGTTTAACTCTTGCTTAATTTATTGTCATCTGCTTTTTTTTGTAGGTATGATAGATTGTTTTAAAACCAACTTTGGATAAGGAGTGACTTCTGACAGCTTAATTCCTTAAAATTGAGTTTGATTTAATGCAGTTTTGCATATTGCCTAGGAGAATTGGTGAAAATGTCTTTGCATGCAGTGTAACCAATGACGTACTGTTGTCCAAACAAGTTTTGTCTGATATTACCGGTTTGGTTTTGATCAGCTGATGATATTAGCTGATGATATTATGATGATATTAATGTGCCACTAGTGAATACTAAAGCAAGCTTGTTCTTTGTGTTCTTCCTCCCCCAGGACAAAATGTTTCACTTTTGGGTAAATACATTCTTCATAGGACTGGATGAAAATTCAGACAAAGTAGAGAATGGAAGTCTAGTTGCAGATCAGGAACTTGATGGTATTTTCAGTACAGAGCGCTCAGATAATGATAAGGAATATTTAATCCTTACGTTAACAAAAAACGATCTAGACAAAGCAAATAAAGACAAAGCCAACAGATATTTCTCTCCAAACTTCAAGGTCAGTATATATTATGTGTAAACAAAGCTGAAAAGCTGCATGATGTTATTTGATTTGTCTGTCTTGCCTTATGGAGGGACCATTTGAAACTGCTGTCGATGTAGAAATTGAATTCATGTATTAGTATTGCTACCACTTAGCAAAGCTTCTAGCTTTGTAAGTTTATCTGCTTTTGGGGAAGTCAATAGATGTTGAGAGACTGGGAGTAAAGGCTTCAGGTCATTTCAGGTATTTATCAGAGCCATTAGAGATGAGTAGTAGGAGACCCAGAGACCCAGATAGCATCTTTCCTGTACCAGCTGCATTGCTATGAGCTCAGACCTTTACACTGTAATTGCTGAGTTGATTTGCAGAGGTGCCCACTTCACGGGAATACCTTAACCTGTGAGTTTAGCTTTGAGGAATATGAGACATTTCCAGCACTGTTTTTAAAAATGAAAAAGGCATTTTTAAGAACTTCAGTGGTTTTTAACTTGCTCATAAAATGTCAGTTGCACCCCAGCAGTGCTTGTTTGAAGGTAATGGTCATAGCTGCTTGTTGGAGTGTTGCATGGATCAGACTTTTCACACACATGTCACCAGTTATAGAGTGTTTTGTTCATTCTTACGCACTCTTACTGCTATCTCTTTTTGTGCTCGCAGAGGTCTAGAAGGTAGGACGGTCAAAAAGCTTAGTGTGGCATGGCCTGCCGCAGTGGTATGTCCTGCTGCTATAACTCAAGAGTACCAGAGGTTGGTGCAGATATGCAGAGCTCCTTCAGCTGGGCTTGAAAAACCTGCTTGCCAGTTCCTTATTTTGTCAGGGGTGGTAGTGGAGAGGCTGGCTAACCTCAGAAGAGCTCTTTGTTTCTTTCCTTCTTTCCAGAGTAGAGAGAGGAGCACTGATGTGATCCAGTACAGTGAAAGGAGCCATGCTGTTAAAAATTGCATTGTTACCTGTGCTCGGTTAAAGTCCAGGTTCCCTTTTTAAATGTTGTCTTTTCCTTTCCCAGGTGAAGCTATTTTTCACAAAAACAGTAGAAGAGCCATCAAATCCAGAGGCTAGCAGTTCAACTTCTGTAACGCCAGATGTTAGTGACAATGAACCTGATCATTATAGATACTCTGACACCACTGACTCTGATCCAGAGAATGAACCTTTTGATGAAGATCAACATACGCAGATTACAAAAGTCTGAATATTTTTTTTATCAGAGATAAAAAAACACACAAAAAAAAACAACCACGAAGAGTGACAAACTTGAATAAACTGAAAAAAGGACCTTTTTAAATGGCAAAAGGACATAGTGTCAGATTACCAATGATAGGAACAATTCTTTCCTGACCAATCTTGTTTTGCCCTATAAATCTCTACAGGGTTTGACACTTGTCCAGTTGGGAAAAAAAAAGGTTACGTAGCTCTTATATGTATATACCTTTTTGTGTCAAAAGGACATTAAAACTTCAATTAGGAACTATAAACATGGCACTTTCCCATTTTATTCCAGTTTTATAAAAGTGGAGACAGACCTAATGTGTATACGTAGGAATTTTTCCTTTTGTGTTCTGTCACCAAACGAAGTTTTGAAAATATACAGGTTCACATCCTGCCCCTTTTTTTGCACTTGTGTGGCAACAGAAAAGTCTGCAGTTGGCTAAGAGATGTTTCTAGAAGGTTTTACTACATTCTAATGCATGTATTTTGTATGGGGGATGGAAAGTAATGCTCAGAAAGGAATGTAGTCTGCTGGAGCTTGGCCTGTGTACCATATCCGGCTATTTACATGCACCTTTCTTTAGCATGCTACCGTAATTCATCCTGGACAATTGAAGAGTCGCCGCTGTCACTGCTTGTTGTTTGTGCATTTTATTTTTTTAAGTGTAATGGTGCTAGAAAAGGCAGCTAGAGAGAGTGATTCTGTATAGGGGTACAGGAATGAACCTTCACAACATCCTAAAGACCCTCAAATGAAGGGAGAAAAATTATTGGGGTCACAGAAAGGAAACACAGCAACAATGACTTAACCATACAAATGTGGAGGCTATCAACTAAAATACGAGCTTGAAACAAATTGTTACAAAATTTGACAATGATTTATTAGTTGTTTTTTTTCCTGAATTGTAATGGCTGCTCCATCTCCTGTGTAATCAAGGCCAGTGCTAAAAGTCAGATGCTATTACTGCATACATCAGTCAGCATCTTACATTTATATTATTAGTTTTTCAATCATATTCCTGCATGTGAATACTTCATGTGCTGCCTTGCAAGCTTTTTTCTCATTAATATAAAAATATTTTGTAATGGTGCACAGGAAATTTCGATTGGAGATTCTCCAGGTTAGTGTTTGTTTTGAGGATTTATGATGCATTTATTCAATCAAACCTCTGTCAGCCGTTCCACCCCTTTGACCTTACACATTCTATTACAGTGAGTTTTGCAGTTTTGCACACTTTTTTAAAAAATGTCATTAACTGTTAGGGAATTTTACTTGAATACTCAGTACCTACGATGTTTTAAAAACAGACATTAGGCATGATATAGAGGAAACCAGTGTTGCAGTAAATTCTCAACACTGTATATGAAGATTTGTACTTTTAAAAACCAGAGCTTGTCCCAAATGTATTGTTTGCTATTTAAAAAAAAAAACAACCCACCCAACAAATTAGATTTCTAAACTGGCGGTGTTGTATTATTTGGAGGGATATGGCCAGGAGTAGGGCTTGAGATTCATTTTTGGTATATAATTGGTATGCCCAGACTGCAGATGACTTAAGAGTACAACTACTGTTGCATACAAATGTGAAGTAGCTGACAAAATTGTTCTCTCTAAAGTATGCCATGAATAGCTGTCCCCAAATTGACACTTTTTTTAGAATGTAATACATGCCCCCCCCCCCCCCCCCCTTTTTTTTTTTATTTTTGTTTCTCT